AGGCGGTTGGTCCAGATGACATACCAGTGGAGGTATGGAAGTGCTTAGGGGAGGTGTCGGTTGATTTTCTGACTAGGTTGTTTAATAGAATATTAGACACGAACAGGATTCCTGATGAGTGGAGGAAGAGTGTCCTGGTACCAATCTATAAGAAGGGCGATGTACAGAGTTGTAGCAACTACAGGGGGATAAAGTTGATGAGCCATACGCTGAAGGTTTGGGAAAGAGTAGTTGAAGCCAGGTTGAGACAGGAAGTGGAGATTTGTGAACAGCAGTATGGTTTCATGACGAGGAAGAGCACCACAGATGCAATATTTGCCCTGAGGATGCTGATGGAGAAGTAAAGGGAAGGTAGGAAGGAGCTGCAATGTGTATTTGTAGACTTAGAGAAGGCTTATGACAGGGTGCCAAGAGAGGAATTGTGGTTCTGTATGAGGAAGTCAGGGGTTGCAGAGAAGAACGTTAGGTCGGTTCAGGACATGTATGAGAATAGTACAACAGTGGTGAGGTGTGCAGTTGGACGGACAGAAGACTTCAAGATGGAGGTAGGACTGCATCAAGGATCGGCCCTGAGCCCCTTCTTGTTTGCTATGGTGATGGATAGATTGACAGATGAGGTCAGACAGGAGTCGCCCTGGACCATGATGTTTGCAGATGACATTGTGATCTTTAGTGAGAGTAGACAGCTGCTACAAGAAAACCTAGAAAGATGGAGGTCTGCACTGGAGAGAAGAGGAATGAAGGTCAGTCGTAGTAAGACAGAGTACATGTGCATAAATGAAAGGGAGACCAGTGGAACGGTGAGTTTACAGGGAGCAGAGGTGTCGAAGATACAGGAATTTAAGTACCTAGGATCAACAGTTGAGAGCAGCGGAGATTGTGGAAGAGAAGTGAAGAATAGAGTGCAGGCAGGATGGAACAGCTGGAGAAAAGTGTCAGGAGTGATTTGTGATAGAAGGGTGTCAGCTAAGGTAAAGGGAAAAGTTTACAGAACAGTTGTGAGACCGGCCATGATGTACGGTCTCGAGACACTAGCAATTGGCAAAAGACAGGAGGCAGAGTTAGAGGTGGCTGAGTTAAAGATGCTGAGATTCTCCTTAGGAGTGACAAGGATGGACAGGATCAGAAATGAGGTCATCAGAGGGACAACTCAGACAGGAAAGTTTGGAGAAAAAGTGAGAGAGGCCAGACTGAGATGGTTTGGACATGTACAGAGGAGGGACAGGGGATACATTGGTAGGAAAATGTTAGAGATGGAGCTACCAGGTAGGAGACAGAGAGGAAGGCCAAAGAGGAGATTCATGGATGCCGTGAGGGAAGACATGCAGGTAGTTGGAGCCAGAGTAGAGGATGCAGAGAACAGGGAAAGATGGAAATTAATGACTCGCTGTGGCAACCCCTGAAAAGGAACAAGCCGAAAGGAGAAGAAGAATGGTTTTAATCCAAAAGGTGGCCATTGGCCAACCATAATCAAAGATTCCAAAAGATAAAAACACTCAAGAAATATCAGAATAAACTGAGGAGACCATCATGAGGACTGAGCCAATTGAACATCTATGGAAGGAGCTGAAACATTTACCCGAAAACCTGAGACAGCATTCGAGTGCAGTTTTTTTTTTTTGCACTGCTAATCCCGTTCAGGATCACAGGGAGTTGGAGTCGATCTGAGCTGACTTTGGGCAAAAGGCTGACGACGCTCTAGAGTAGTCAGCGGTCAATCACAGGGCACGGACAACCATTCACATTCACACTCACACTGTAACTGACTGGCAATTCAACCCATTTCCCTGCACAGCAGTCAGCAGAGTAAACTACTACATCAATGACTGAAATGTCTGATATTCATTCGTTTTTAGACATTTTGATTCAATTGTTTCAAGTCAGGTGGCACAGTGGTTGCCTGGTTAGCACGTCCACCTCGCAGTACAGAGGTGCAGGGGTCGATTCTGGCCCCGGACTTCCTGTGTGGAGTTTGCATGTGCTCCATGTGCCTGCGTGGGTTTTCTCCGGCTACTCTGGTTTCCTCTCACATTCCAAAAAAAATGCATGGCAGGCTGACTGAACACTCAAAATTCTCTCTGGGTGTGAGTGTGAGCGCGGATAGTTGTTCATCTGTGTGTGCTCTGCGGTTGGCTGGCAACTGGTTCAGGGTGTCCCCTGCCTATTGCTCCAAGACAGCTGGGATAGGCTCCAGCACGCCCGCGACCCTCGTGAAGATTAAGTGGTTTCGGATAATGGATGGATGTGTCACGTCATTACAGCGACCAGTGACAGCTTTTGATCTTTAATAGAAAGGGACGAACAATTTTTCTCTATTTTATGACTAATTCATTTTTGAGATGCCATTTCCTCTTTCGTGATACATTTGCCAATACAACAGAGAAAATAAAAGACTGACAAGACAACAGAAAATAAATGTGAAATATATGTCATATAATTGTTAATTCAACACCTGAAAAGTAAAACCTATGAAAGAGTAAAACATTGAAGAAACACAGAACATTCAAATAGTGGCCAAAGAAATGTGAATAGGACACAGATTGTGCACTTCCTTCTGTTGGTTCCTGTTTACATTTTAAGCATATCAGTTGATCATTTCCATACACAAACACTGGTACTTACTGGTAAGTGTACTTGCATAATCTAATGAGCCCTTGCATGACTCGGGGCACAAAAAAAAAAATCCTCATCTCACCCCTCGGGTGGTGTCCGTCCCCCATTCAGCTCGGGTCCTCTACCAGAGCCCAGGAAGCTTGAGGGTTCTGCGCAGTATCCTTGCTGTTCCCAGCACTGCACATTTCTGGACTGAGATGTCCGATGTTGTTCCCGGGATCTGTTGCAACCACTCATCTAGTTTGGGGGTCACTGCCCCGAGTGCTCCGACCACCACAGGCATAGAAGGGTGTCAGCTAAGGTGTCACCTTTACCTTCCAGGCTCTCTCCAGCTCCTCTCTGAGCCCTTGGTATTTCTCGAGTTTCTCGTGTTCCTTCTTTCTGATGTTTCCATCACTTGGGACCGCTACATCCACTACAACGGCTTTCCTCTGCCCTTTATCGATGATCACGATATCCGGTTGGTTCGCCATTACCATCTTGTCAGTCTGGATCTGGAAGTCCCACAGGATCTTCGCTTGGTCATTCTCCACCACCTTCGGAGGTGTTTCCCATTTTGACCTTGGGGTTTCCAGTCCATACTCTGCACAGATGTTTCGGTAGACGATGCCAGCCACCTGGTTATGGCGTTCCATGTAGGCTTTCCCTGCCAGCATCCTACACCCTACAGTTATGTGTTGGATCGTCTCGGGTGCCTCTTTGCACAACCTACACCTTGGGTCTTGTCTGGTGTGGTATATCTGGGCCTCTATGGAACATGAGGATTCCGAGTGAGATGCCAGTCTGACGGTCATTCCAGAATCATAGAACCGTAGTTACATACTGTAAGTAACCATTGTTTTACAATGTCCCTCCAGAGAATGAAGAGTGGCAACATCCACACAATAAAATCTGAAGAAAGTGCCAGGTGATGACCAGGAGCGCCCTTGGTTAGGGCCCCAATAAGAAACGAAAAGCTGAGAATACGTACGGCAAGATAAGATAAAAAGTACAGAGCCCTCACAGGGCACAAGGGCTCTTGATTGACCCCACAGTCCCGGGATGGAGGCACAAAACGTGCAAGCCAGACAAGCTGGTTAAAATGCGAGGTGGAGAGCACCTTGTGATCAAAAGCCACGTTTGGACCCAGAGTGACACCAGCCACAGGTTGCTGCGGTGGACAACTTGTTAGCACATCCACTTCAGACTTGAAGGGGAGTGCGATATTCACTTTCCAGTCCCCATGCACATGGCACATCATTTATGTGCACCCCTGACTATTACTGTTAAATTGATTATGATTTTTAGTTGTCATACATTTACATATTATTAATGGTGAATTGATTGTGCTTGCAATGAAGAACGCTTTTGTTTTAATGAAGATATAATTTTGCTTTTAATAAAGATATGCTCACATTTATAATGAAGAATGCTCAGTGCACTGTGTGACAATTGAGGGACGCAACCACCTTTCCGAGAAAGTGGTTGTGAAGAGATAAGGTAATAAGACAAAACAAGAGCAAGGCCGGATGTGGATGGAGCTGCCAACACCAGCTGCAACCAACTTATTTGGTGTTTTTGTAATGATTACACATATGTACGTAATTTTCACTCACATACACACACACATCGTCAAACAAGTTCAATGTGTCTTCAACAGCCCTCACCCTTTAGGTTGGACACACCCAACCAACCCAGATTCCCAATGAGAAATAAATGAGAGGGCGAGCGGGGAGATTCTTCGGTGACGTGCTGAGAATTGAAACCTAACGCTTCTCCTCATTCCCCCTCGAGTGATTGGTACCAGAATCCAGTGTGTCCTCTCCTCTTTGGGTGTTTATTATGAATGTCTAATTGATAACTCGGACAATTACCTTTGTAATCTTTGATGTCAGTATTTACTGGGTA